GGAGCGTTGTCTTGTGATGTGGAATTATGAAAATTGACGTAGTCACAATAACCGAGAAGCACATTGTTAGTTTTGCATGTGCACTTACCTCCTCGAGCTTCTCGAAGAGGCACACAGTCACTTGGTGTCCTCCTCTCCCCGTCTTCGATCGCAAAGAAAAAAGAAAGGGATTAAAAAGGGAATATAACTTGCCCCCCCCCCCCCCTTTTTGTTTTTCGTTTTTGTAGAAACGCTTATTTGGATTCCTTGACCTTGTTTTTAGGGTCTAAAAAATGGATTCAGGGGCTTGGTGTTGCAAGAAAAGGCTTAGCGGAGCTGAAGAGTGCCCAGCCTCCCTTTGCGCAGGTCAATTCGCGTGACAGTGTCACTGCGCCTCAACTTTACAAACAAAAAACACTTTTTAGAAGGGGGGGATGTTGGTCCCGTAAAAAAATGTATCGGATTACAAGGAATCCGTTACGTAAAAAAATGTAAGGGAATTACTTTAAAATTACTCTAGAAAATATGTAATTATCCCGTTACTAAATTACTCATAACTGTAAGGGATTACAAGTAATTTCGTTACTTGTAACGGATTACGTACAAGGCTGGCTAGCGTTTACAAGCGATATTGAATTGATCAAAATATTTTCAACTTGGGCACGGGAAACTAAGTTAAAATATATAATTAATGCATTTAATGCATTTTGTCTTCACAAAATATTGCATTGAAAGCCGACAAGCTTCCACTTCTGCAAATGTGCTCAACGTTAGCTGGTTTTATTATGCTCTGTATGGCACATCAAATGCTGATATTATGGTTATACCTCGTTATCATTTCTTTTTTGCTTCTAATGCATTATACGACACGTAAGGTAGGTAGAAAGTGCGACATTAAATTGATTAATTCAAAATATGTTTTGATCATTAAAGAAAATGCGGCAATGTGCTCCAAACAGTTTAAAGTTGTTCGTCTAAGAGTATCTTATGGTGAATGCGAAAACATGTTCCTGTATTCCACTTTCCCTAATGAGACTCGTCCATGATTGTTCTTACAAAAAGGTATGCTGGGATCTCATACTGGTCGGGCATTTCCACGTATTGTCCACATTAGGCTGTACTCTTAGTAACCACTCCAAGAAAATTTCTAATCCTCAGTGTCCTAAAAGGTCGACACACTGCAGTGCCTCCTCCGCAAGTCGCAGACCGTTCAGGCGAGCCTTGCGAAAGTAGGACGGGACAACGCTGTGTAGCCTCTTTTGAAAAAGGTCAACTTCGACGAAGGTTATTGAATTTCGGGGTTAGAGCACTCCAAGATGGCACTGCAGAAGGCTAAAATTGATTACTATCCAGGCAACAAATATTTTTGTAGTACTCTTTAGGCTCACGGTTCCTTTAAGTGCATGGACAAGGTCTTCTAAGAATAAGGTACGCCTGTCACGTTGTCCTATGCTAGAACAGCAGAAAACAGCCCGGGTATAAGAGGAGGCAACTTATATTAATGATCCAAGAGCAAGTGTTTGCACAGAAGTGAAGCAATACTGTTTTTCTTGACCCCTATTCTTTTTATGGTGACTTTAATAAAACAAGAAAGTCGGCGAGAAAGTAGAATCAGAAAAAATAAGGCTTGCGTTGGACAAGCTCTGACTGCACCTTCATAACAAGAGGGTGTGGCCGATCCCGACTGCATTATATGAACACTGGGCAGTGCTGCCCATAATAAACCCTTTTCAAAAATCTATCCAGCAACATTGGTGGTCGCCATTTTTCGGGCAGGAAGCGTGTGACTGGATCCGGGTTCTTGCCGAACGCTGACGTCACCCTCGTGTCCAATATGTGCTCAGAGGACGTGCTCAAACAGTGAGGGACCCGAATGATTATAGCAGCTTCTAGATGGCGCACACTTTTGAAGAATATGTATACTTGAGCTCCTTTTATTTTTTTTCACCAAACAATTAACCAATAAATGATTTATATTTAATCAGTTAAACCAGTGAGAAGGAAGATCGTTACTACGCTCAAATGGCCACGTTGTCTCAGCGGCAAGAGATGCGGGCGCCGCATCGCAGCATGCCCCTTCCCGTATGATGCTCCTCGCGTTTATTGTTGGCTGAAGAGTGCTAAAGCTAATCGACGATTAGTGCTTCGAGTGCACCCCGGAATTAGTGTGCTTGAAGAGTTCTTGGGAGTGTAATCATAAATATGCATAAACTTTCTTGTGTTTTTGTTTTATTCCGACGTCATGCTGGTACCATAATCGGGTAACACGAAAATTTCGAACTGCATTAAAAGAAAAAAACTCCCGAACGATTGAATGGTATGCATATCTACAGCGGTAGATTAGTCCTGCAATGAATTATACAGCATAGATACCAGTACTTTCAGAGAGTGTGATTCAATCACCCGAAAAAACAATTTCTTCGTATGTACATTTAGACGGAAAGAAGATAGTATGTGTTAAGCATGATGATGTCTCTTCTTAGAGGGAATATTGTGATGTGTAGGTCAACCCAATCACGAAATATTAAATGTCTCTCTCGGAGTGAAAAAAAATAATTTTGTAAATATGCGTACCTTATCTTCCTAATCAAGAGTTTTATTCTCAGCTGGTAAGTTTCCTCGAGTTGATGATATAAGTTTAGCATTTACCCATTACGAAAATCATTGTTCAAAGACAGAAAAAGCCGCAGAATGTTTTTCTTTCTAGAATTCCAGTTTTGCACAGGTTACGAGCAGTGGTTATAAAGCTTCCCCCCAAATTAGAGGTACGATTCCTTTCAAAGAAAATCTCGCGTGGGAAGCGAGAAGGTGCGCGATTATATAACTGACGTGCATAAGCACGAGCACAATTAAAGTCACACGCTGTGTTGGTACTACAAGAATATTCGTATATAAAACACCTGAGTCTTTCCAAACAAGCAAACAGCTGTCACCACCCCGTGATATAAATTGAAAGCACTTGTTAAAATGCGAAGAGTGTAAAAAATAATCGATGATTGAAACGACCCGAACGACAAATTTAGAACTTATTAGCTGGATCAGTACTTTAAAAAAAAGTGCTTCGGCTCAAGTTTTCAAAAGTTTCATGTTTAGGATCGGGATCCAACCAATGGATATAAAAAGTGAATAGATAAAGCTAAAAGTGAAATATCAAGAGATGTGTACTATTGCCAGAATACGAACCTGAGCTTAATGACACTCTTTCTTCTATAATTATCACGTTCCTTGCGCTAATTTATCGGATCATACCAGTGATATGAAAGATATGCAAAGGTATATCATTTATTTCAGAATGAGGTGGCGGAAGTTTCGTTACATGGGCTGCACCTAACTTGATACATTTAAAATGTGTTAAAAGTTAAACGTTTATTGACGTTGTAAAAAATATGCCTATCTTTGGGGCATGTTCTGCGCAAAGCGGGTTCCGAAATAATTCCCAAAATCTGCGGTGAATCACATAGTTTTCCATATGAAATATATTGGTCATATAAGTATACGTTCCTCATATGGTGAAAAGATCGCGACTGTGATCGATGTTTATCCTAAATGTCAGTTACTTCATTGTCAAACCATTGGCAATGGCTTACTGAATATTTTAATTTAAAAAAGGAATCTTTTATAATTACTTATATGTCATGATCACTAGTACCTAAAGACGCAAAAAGTACGAGCACAATACATTCGCCAATAACTAAATAACTTATTTTGCTTCGTACAGACATGCGCCAAAGTATTGCTTGTATTCGCTAATTTTTTTCTCCCCGGCCGTAAATAAACTTATTGTAATTAAAACAATTTGTGTTGAAAATCACAACACAAGCTCCACACTTACTTTGGATTTGTTTGTAAGCTTGTCTTGTTATTAATACCACCTGTTAGTGAAGCAGATGGCCGCAAGGGGCACAGCTCTCAAGGGTGATCACTTGAAGTAAAAAGGGTTATGGAGCAAGCCCCGTTCAATCTATTTCTAATGGAAGTTATCATGTGACAAACGACAATCCCAGGTAGGCGGGTCTACTTTCACCATATGACCACTTCATTTCGTTACGTGGTCAAAACAGGTTAAAGAGGCTTAATAGGTTTGTCACTGCAGCTTGCTCTGTGACCTTTGTGCGCAAGCACTTCACGAGTAAGCAATGTGAAGGATGTCCCAAGCGAACGTTCCCCTGTAGAATTAGCTGGAAAAATCGGCGCCTGCACATAGAAAGTTCGAACACTTACTGAATAAGAACTGAGCCCATCAGTTTTGCGGTGTGAACTTTCAAGGCGTAAGTTTTATCCTGCAAGAATTTAGAGCAGAAAGCTTGCCGAAATCAAAGTTGGACGCGTTCGCAGACGGCCGATTTTGGGACACTATTTACTTGTGGCACCATGTACCGTTAGGCAAAGCTGGAGATGGCGCCGCAAGTAATACTGTCGCTAACTCGGTCGTCTGCGATAGCGTCCAACCTTGACTTTGGCAAGATGTTTGCTCCATGTCTTGCAGGGGAAAAACAACTGCGCCTTGATATTTGACACGGTAAAACTTACCTGCTCAGCGCACATTCGGAGCAAGTTTTTGGCTTTCTACCCGAGCAGGAGCCAATTTTTCCGGCTGGTTTTACAGCAGAAGATTTGTTTGGGAGACCCTACATATTGTACCGTTATCGACGAAAGTGAAATAGGAAAGTGATCCTTGCGTCCTGACTCCCGGAGACGGCTACCAGATTTCCTCTTCCGCATATTTCAACGACCCTCTTCCCTCCCCATCTCGGAACCAAGTATCGCAACCATTCCGGGAGCACAGATTCATTCATTCAACAAAATCCGCGAACTAAGATAATTCTCCGAACTGATACGCGGCCAATCTAGAAGACGCTTAAGTAGAAAAAGCGACCGCTTGCATACATCCCGTCCACAACCTGCACCGGAGAAAGCTCTCGCACAACGAGAGACAGTGGAGAGAAAGAGACGCACACAGGAAGAGATGGATAAGCGAGGAATCGCGCGCGCGACCACCGCGGCGTTGACTCTGCGGCGACAAGTGCCGATTCGCCACCGTCGTCGCCGAAAGATGTGGCGCGGCGCTCCAGGCGCTGAGCGGCACGCCCTTCCCCGCCGAGGATCCCCCTTCTCCTTGCCCCCAGGGGTATAGACGCTGCCGACGCGGCCGGTGGGGACACAGGCCGGACGGCAGAGGCCGAGCGGAGCTACCGGTGCCAGCACGAGTCGGGCGCCCACGACCCGCCGCCGAGACACGCGCGCGCAGAACAACCACCGAAGAACAACAGCATGGCTCTTGCTCGGCACGCCGCCGTGCTCGTCGCTCTGGTCCTAGCCGGGGCATGGACCTCCTTCGTAGACCTGGTGGAGGCGCGCCCGGCTTCGTCGGGAGCGTCCACGTCGTCGTCCAGTTCGTCGACGGTGAGGCTGTGTGGACCTCGACTCGTCGATCTGGTCTGGATGCTCTGCATGGACAGGGGAGGCGTGCACAGCCACATGGACCGGAGAGCATGTAAGTGTCCGCGTCCTTGACTACGTCTATGTTATATGTACGGATGGAGATATTCCTATAGAGTGAGCTCGTCGTGAACTCCCTTCATGTATTAGGAATGGGTGGAGGCATATATTTGTTTGTAGCGACTTCTGGATTTCGATGTCATTTAACTGTCGCTTCTCAGCAGACTCGTGTGTATCTCGTTACTTTCATTTAGTTACTTTTTTCGTCAACAAAGTAACGACTTATTGACGATTTAAGAGGAGGGGCCAGGAACGCATTTTTGTAACTTTTTGATGGACTAACGATATCGGTTACGTCTACAGAGGAACGTGTAAAGCACAATTGAGTAACTCTTTTTTTACCACAGTTTGCGTTTGTGGCATTTGAGACAAAAACGAGTCAACTAAAGAATAAAAGATGCCCATGAATGCGTTAAAAGGCCAGGCCTTATTAACGACACAAAATATTGGAAGGCGGCTGCTGCTGGGGGCAGGCAGACAACAAATTAAGAGTAACAAGGAAGTAACTCCTTACTTTTTAGCTCAAGTTCCTTTTTAATTTCAGTTAAAAGCGTTTTCGTCATTCTTGTCCAGCTCGTTTGCGCCTTTGCATTTAATTGCATTATAAGCAAACGTGTATAGTTCTTCTTTGAGAGAGTATCGAATAACCGTATTTAGCTGCTTTGCTTTAGTAGCGTATAGTACAGTACATGCCTGCTTGTTAGAAACCGCGCCCTCAGCTGACTTCCATGATGCTACAACGACATGCTTGATTCGATCGTGCAGATTCAGCTTAGGTGTCATAAAATTGTGGAGGGTTCTAACCGGTAGAATGTCAGAATTTGAAGAGACGCGCCTATGACAGCTTTTTTCTTATACCTGTTAAAGCAGGATGAATAACCCAAAAATGTAGGTCGCTCTAACTGAAAGCTGAAAGCGTTTTTTTTGCGTCTCAATCTTTAGGTGTGGTCTGTTGGACTAGTTAGTGAGTGCCAACTATTGATATCAAACATAATACCAGACAAATATTAGTAAAGAGAAATCATTAAAAGAGACTTTGTTAACGGAGTTAATTCATTACGCATAACGCTGACACTCGGTTTGTCCGCGAAATCTTTGGCGCGGTATGTAATGTCATGCAGCCTTCTGCCTCCTGGAGCCAGATGGTATGCGTACATTTTTATCAAAAGCAAGAGTTTGTTTCTCTGGCTAAAGGCTTTCGTTCGTTGCATGCATTTCTCCCATTGAGGCGCGAGTTTACGCGTGCGCTTGACTACGGCTATCTATAATTTCAATCGTTCGATATTACCTCACTTTTTCCTCGTTTCAACGTTCTGATCAACTCAAAAATCATGCAAAACTTTTTCTGGTGTTCTCAACACGAATTTTATTTTAATTACAGGTGGCGGAGCTAGTTTGACATGCCGTAAACTTTATTGTCTTATCTTTTACCCAAAGCATTTCGTGGCTTTTTATTTACTTTATTTCTTTATTTCTTCATTGATTTTTCAAAATACTGTAAACGTTGGAATCGTGGGAGTCAGTACGCCTCGTTTTCTTTTATCAGTCGTTATATTGATATATTCTTACTCGTTTTAAAAAAGGAACTAATTCTTATAAAATTGCCTCAAGCGCTTCTAACGGAAGAGCTCCATGTCCTGCGGGAAGTTTATGCAATGCCTTATGTTTGAGTTTGCCTAATGATTATTCTGTGTCTTGACGTTTGCCAAAAATGCTTCCTTGAGCGATGAATCGTATTGTGAACTTTTTAGGCTTCTATTTCAAAATCTAACGGCGCTGAAGGTTTCGAAGATCTATCATTTATGAAAGTGTCGAATCGAAGCCAAAATTAACTGAAGGGATCGAAATCGTCACTAAAATTGTTGAAATCGCTGACGAAAGTAGTATACGTTCACCTCCTCTGACTGTAAATCTATTTTTGTTAGACGTACCTGTTCCATTAAGCGTCTACTCTTGGAATGAATGAACACCCACGGACTTGTTATTATAAATTAATAATAATAAATATCTTAAGGCTAGTTTTTGTTTGAAGCTTACGCACAAATTTGAAATATGTGCTATACTGAAGCAAACCTCTGTGTGGAATTTCAGAAGACGTAAAGAACGCTAGTGCCCAACCTTTATCGGCTCACAGGATGCGCGAGGGCAAGGCGCCGACAGCTTCAATTTCCAACGGAAAGTTGTTCCCAAGTACGGTGATCACACAAGCAACTACAAAAACAAATACCTTCGCAAATAAATAAATATTTATGCCTGATAAATATCCTTTTATAATAACGTCTGGAAGATAAAATAAACTAATGTCAAACTTCCAGTCGTTTACCTGCTCGCCAAAAAACCAAACCCCGCGCCTAACATTTGGCAAGACACTCCATTAATCACTTAGTTACGAAAAGGCTGGGCGTAACTGAGACTGGTTTAATTTCCGCACTGGCCTCGTCGCTGATTGATAAGAATCCGCAATGCACTGAAATGTAGTCACTTATAGTCACCGATTTGCCTGTGGTCCTCTCATTTCCTACTTTAAGCTTTTTTACTTAAATTGGACCCTTACGTCAAAATCAGTGCGGAAAATCCATTACTATTTTTATATGTATTCCTTTAAAACCACAGTGGTGCACAATGCCCAAAACTCAGGAAAATGTAGCGTAAATAAGCAATTTACTTGATTTTGATAAAACATCGTAATAAAATTTGTGTTTTATTTATTCCTTCGCATTATGCATCTGAACAAATCAACCTGCCAGAAAGAAATATACGTTGTTCTCGTATTGCCCATCACCATCACCCTTAGAAGTTTACAGTTATAAATACCCGGGCGTCATTTTATTTCTGGCCATCACGCCTTCATTAGCTTCTTGCTGTTTTATTGCTGTAAAAGCTTTAAGTTATAGATAAAAAGTCGGCAGAAGGCATACTCTAGCGGTACAAGTAACTTTAAACGAGTAGCTTACAATTATACTTAGTGTCCGCTTCTGGTATACAATTGAAAGGTCATAGTTCCATCCGTACGTGGAACGACGATCTTTCCGAACATGACGCGAACAAAGAAAAGTCGGACAAACTCCCGATGCACTCTTGCGTATAAAAAAATGTAAGAAACGTAGGAATCAATCATATAATTTTTGCGTGCAGTTCCTTATTTATTATTGTGGGGACCGATACCGGCATACAATTGTTTTTTCGGTCACTGACTAAAGTGTATTTACGAATTAGTGTAAGTGCCAATCTGTAATACGTCGATCTTCGCTTCTGTTTGTATATGTGCAGTATAGCCAGGATTGGTACCGATATAATAGAAAGTGCATACTGAATACCTTTTGTACCAAATACGACTTTCCTCTCATCTTGCTTGTTTGTTATGTAAGTATAAAAAATGTCAGGGCAGGCTGTCGTAGAAAAGACAGCGGAGTACTTTGAAAGCTGAGCTCTTCTTCCAGACCGTTTATTTATCATACCGTATAAAAGGATAACAAAGAAAAGTGCTCGGTTCGAGGAAGTATTCTGCTGATCAATCATGATCAGATTTACCGAGCGAAACCTGCCAAGGTATAATATTTTGTTTTGTAGGAGAAAGTTTTTCTCAGAAAACGCAGAGATTTCTTCTATCGCAGGAAATATTGTATTTTTAACGCATTTACCACAAAAAAAAACCTACATTTGCGAAATAAATGTGTGATTAATGAATCAATGCAAACAAATCATATGCGACAAATGCACTATTGCGGTTCTTCGTCCTTTTGTGTTTCGTGACGGAGATTTATTTAGTCTCGCAGATGATGATACCGTCCCTCTAAATCCCTTAAACAACAAACTAATACATGACGAGACAAACAGTGAGAGGGATTCTGGAGCACAACGAGAACGTTTCACGTGCCAGCAAGCGTCGCGCGTTTCACACTATGGCGTGTGCTTCCAGAACACCTCTGATTGGTCACATTCCTTGTGCATTGCCAAGACAGATAGGAAACGCCAGAAAGACCAGGCGCAGTAGTGTAGTGGTCAGCATACCGAACCGGATATTAGGGAACCCGGAGTTCAAATCCTGGTTCCTCCAAAGATTTTGTCTTTCGGCGGCTTCCTGGACTTTAACTCATTCGATCAAGTACGGTTCGTTCATCCGCATATTTTTCGACTATTTCCCATTTGGAGACAACGTACGATGATGGAAGTGCCGGTGATATGTGTAGGCTATTCTTCACACACACAAAAGCAGCATAAATTTCTTCATTCTTTTTTTTCCGTAATAATGTTTTCCGGTGTGAATACTGATACGTGTCATTTTTTTTATTTTTAATAACCGATGTAAAGGGTTTGTTGACGTTTCGCGCCCTCGGATTGTACCCAAGTATAGTTAACACGTAAGTGCTTAAAGTGACCAATTATAGGATCAATAATACAAAACCCTTCTACAGTTTGCAAGAAAGGCTACTGATGCTTTTAACTACGCTGTGACTAAGGGACACCTCCGTATTTAATGTCAAGGTATTCATAAGTTCCACGCAATCAATATATACCAGCATCATTGCTTAACTTAATTCACAAAAGCAACCCTGATTCTGTTGCCCTTAGCCAATTTATGCGTTTCTACTGTTGCCTCAAAATTTAAAGCCCTTTTTGTTCTAAATAACTGTATAACGTACACTTCTACAAAAATGATATTGTTGGTTTGTCATAAGAAAATATACCCAGCCTTTTTTGTTTAATTTGCTGCCTAATTATATTGTTCATAAACATACCTACACAAACCACCTACTTTTTTCCCCTAAAAATATAAACAACTGAGCCATCAAAAATTGCCAAAGGCGCGGGCACTTTTTCATTTATTTGTGGTTAAAGTATCAAAAACTCCTAAAAAAAAGAAGATAATCAGCGCAAAAAAAGTTCTCACTAATTACGAAAATATGAATTACAAAAGGTGAAACAATCCAATCGATAAAAGTGCGGTTTACGAACTCTGTGATGTTGGGCTGAAGGAACCACCCGAATCGAATT